CCCCGAGTCCCGCCGGTAGGGTCTCCTGTTGATTAACGAGCAATTTCCCCAAGGCTCCAATTACCCAACGCTTATTTCTGGGACTAATCGCCATTTAAACCCCCCAAAATCAAGGCATGTGTTTGCTGAAGCGTTCCCAGTTCAGTCATTATCAAACCCGGCCCCACCGCGAGGAGAAAAACCTTCCCTTCAGGAAATGAAGATTGTTTTTTAGTTGTTTATCAAGAGCGGGGGTTTTATTCTGAACAAGCTTTTTTTTTTTTTGCTCCTGACAGACAGGCCCGTGTCCAACAGGCCCCTGTCGATGAGAAATTATTTTACATCTCTGAAGAGCGAAAGAAAAAAAAACACCACAGAAATCTCACTCTGGATCCTTGGAAGGAGGACAGGCCCCAACCACCCACAACCTGTTGGCAAAAGCTTAGTTTTCACCATTTCCTCAGTCACATGAACACGTTTTATAACTGATTAAAAATATTACATTAAAAAAAAAAAATATCTGCTTTTTAAGGCAGTCCCCGCTATGCTGCTGCTTATCCCAAACTAGGGAGGCCAGAGTAGCCCACGACGACCATCTCCTGGGGAAAGGGAGTTTATTCATCCGAGTCCAGGTCGCTGTCTCCTGCGATGGAGTGGAAGTCCTCGCTGTCTTCCTCATCCTCGGACAGATGGACCTGGCTCAACACGCTGGGCCCGCAGCGCTGCTGTTCTTCCTCCTCCTCCTCTTCCGAGATCTCGTACCCTCCAGTGCTGCTGAAACTGGTATCTCTCGTGTTGGATTTGGGGTCTGGTTCTTCGTAGCTGCCATAGCTGGAAGAGAGAGAAAACTTGTATGTACCATCATTTCAGATCACCTGCTGATACCGACAATTCCCTTATTTAACTCCTGTAAAAGGTCCCTGGCTTGAAGTCCTTGTAGAACACTCAGAACCATCGTGCACTTCAATTCTGGCAAGGGCCAGCTTTTTTGCAGAATCACAGAATCTTCATGGTTGGAAGGGACCTTTGAGATCATCGAGTCCAACCACACACAAAAAACCACAACAAAAACCCAACCCAACAATCCCGGGCACTAGAGCATGCCCTGAAGTGCCACGTCTACACGTTTCTTAAATACCTCTAGGGATGGTGACTCCATTTTAAAATAAAATTAAAAAAAAAACAAACAAAACAAACCCATGTTTGTTTTTCTGATGAAACAATTGTCTCATCCCACTCTGGGCAGGATCAGCCCTCATCCCTGCTCAGGGCAAGAAAAAACTCGGGGCTCCAACACCTTCCATCTGCCACCTTTACAGGTGGGAAGGCGCATGGCCCGTCCTCGTCTGATGAAACAATTGTCTCATCCCACTCTGGGCAGGATCAGCCCTCATCCCTGCTCAGGGCAAGAAAAAACTCGGGGCTCCAACACCTTCCATCTGCCACCTTTAGAGCAGACGGGAAGGCACGTGGCCCGTCCTCCTCACCTTCTCCAGCATTTTCTGCTGAGTCCTGGCACGGCGCTGGGCTGGACTGACCACTCACCAGACCCAGCATCGCCACCTGTCCCATAATTAGCCAGATATCAACAATAGCACTAAGGGACCGCATTCCACAAGTAGAAAAAGAGCAGGGAATCTAATGCTAATACTCTCCAGAACGGCCAGAGAAGCAGGAACAGGGCAGTACCCTCTCAAGTGAGCACAAAAAATAAAGCTGAGAGTGCTGCACTGGTCATTTTCTAATAATGGAACTCTTTCCAGATTCACAACACGCATCTTCCTATTCTTCTGGACTCCAACTAAGCAGTCTAAAGGAACTAAAGGGAAAGCTAAAGGGACTAAAGGAAAAGCAGTTTCCTTTCAAATAAGGAAATGCTTAGAGAAAAAAAAAAACAAAAGCCATCAAGTTAATCAGCTAAATCATCTTTTAACTTCAATGGCATCTTGTATTTACCAAGACAACCTATAAAAGCCTTTATTTGTCCTGCCCTCAAAAACCACTACGGACAGGAAATCATTTAACTTACAAGAAAGAATGTTTGTTTTTTTTAAATATAACTAACATTTTTACTAGTGAAAATCTTACAGCAAGCCCAAATTTCTGTTGATAAATTGTAACGATAGTACTTATGGCTGCAACACTAAAAACAGTGACAAAATAACTTAAAAGAAAAAAAAACGCGAGACATTCTTCAACTTTTTATGACAAACGCTTTGTTAAGAGAAGGGATTTTTTGTTTTGAAGAATTATTTTCATAAGGTTCTCCATTCTGGTTGGTTACCTGATATTGCTGTCCTCCATGACGTGCGATGTCTCCCCACCATCTCCCTCGTAAGACATCATGCTCTCTTCGTTGTCCATGCCCATGCGCGTGTTCTCTTGAAGAACGTGAGGTTGTTTAGGTCTCACTGCGTTGGGCTCCACGTCTGAGTCGCTGCCACTCTCGCTCAGCTGGATAGCTGCGTAACAAACCAACACTCACTCACTCATCAAGAGGGTTTTTTCTGTGGGTTACACACCCTTTGTCTTTGTTTTAAGGCTGTATATGAAGTGGTGTCTCCACAAGGCAGCAGAAAGGGTATCTGGGAGGTGATGCCACTAACTCAGTACTCAATTAGGACGTTACTCAAAAGTAATTTCATTACCACCGTTACTCAAAAAGGCCTTGTTTCCTTGTCTACTCTGAATAATTCCCCCTTTCTTCCCCCCTAATAATTTTCAGAAGACGTTGCTAAAGAAGCTTTTCTGCATGACAAGGATTTCAATAAAACAAGGAAACAATCTGAAGAACCTCCGGGCACCACTTCCAGTTCTTGGTAACACTGACCACACTGTTTCTTATCAAAATAAAAGATGTGCTTTTACTGAACTGCCCAGTCCTGGTTCTGCCCAGCAAATCCCAGTCCCAGTCTTCTCAGAACCATTTGCAGTTTCACTTTATGAAACGCAACGACCCCGATCTTGTCTTAACTCTGCTCTTTCATCTGAGCATCAGACATCATCTACCTGGATTTACACAAAGAGTTCGACACTGTCCCATATGACATCCTGGTCTCAAAATTAGAAAGACATGGATTTGACAGATGGACTGCTCGGTGGATAAGGAACTGGCTGGATGGCTGCACTCAATGGTTTGTAGTCAATGGCTCAATATCCAAGTGGAAGCCAGTGACAAGTAGTGTTCCTCAGTACTGGGACCAGTGCTGTTTAACATCTTTGTTGGAGACATGGACAGTGGGACTGAGTGCACCCTCAGCAAGTTTGCCGACGACAGCAAGCTGTGTGGTGCGGTCGACATGCTGGAGGGAAGGGATTCCATCCAGAGGGGCATGGACAGGCTGGAGAGGTGGGACCATGTGAACCTCATGAAGTTCAACCAAGCCAAGTGCAGGGTCCTGCACCTGGGTCACAGCAATCCCAGGCACAACTACAGGTTGGATGGAGAATGGCTGGAGAGCAGCCCTGAGGAGAAGGGCTTGGGAGTGCTGGTGGATGAGAAGCTCAACATGAGCCAGCAGTGTGCTCTGGCAGCCCGGAAAGCCAACCCCATCCTGGGCTGCATCAAAAGAAGTGTGGCCAGCAGGTCCAGGGAAGGTAATTGTACCCCTCTGCTCTGCTCTCATGAGACCCCACCTGGAATGCTGTGTCCAGCTCTGGAGTCCTCAACACAGGAAGGACATGGACCTGTTGGAACGGGTCCAGAGGAGGGCCACAAAAATGATCTGAAGGCTGGAGCCCCTCTGCTGTAAGGACAGGCTGGAAGAGTTGGGGGGGTTCAGCCTGGAGAAGAGAAGGCTCCGGAGAGACCTTGTAACGGCCTTCCAGTTCCTAGAAGGCTCCAGAAAAGCTGGGGAGAGACTCTTGATCAGGGAGGGGAGCTGTAGGACAAGGGGGAAGGGTTTTAAATTGAAAGAGTAGAGATTTGGAGGGGTTTAAGGCCAGGAGCTTTGAGCAACCTGGTCTGGTGGGAGGTGTCCCTGCCCAGGGCAGGGGGTGGCACTGGATGATCTTTAGGGTCCCTTCCAACTGTAACCATTCTATGATTCTTTTCTGTCTGTCCTTACAGCACTCCTATTTCACTTTATTCTCAGTTCCACTTATGTTCATCCAGTTTTCTCATCTTGCCCTTTGGTCTCTCTTCCTTTTTGCCTACTTGACCACCTGGCCTACATATTCCAATTTTTTTGTTTTGTTTTTGTCTCTGCATGTTTTTGTGATGAGAAGATTAGCTGGGTTTGTGAACAACCAGTTCCTACTCAACCTTTTATAAAAAAAAA